TGTTCCCGGGGTGTATACACCACCTCTTCTTTATCCACACTCCCATCCTCGGACACTTAGGCTGTTTCCTTATCTCTGCTATTGTAGACAGAGCTGCAGTGAACAGTCATAAATCTCTCCACTTAGTGTTTTATATTCTTAATCTATTATCCAAAGTCTCCAGAGAGTGAAACCGCTGCTCTGTGCTCACAGAGATTTCGTTAGTCATCTCATTTTGATCATTCTGCAGGTCAGCAACCCTCAATCTAAAGTTGTCTTTGTTTCCTAAGATTTTCCTTAAGTATTTTTTTCACTGTGTGTTGGATGACTTCTTATTGAGAATCTTTCCTCTGGTATTCTATGGTGTTGAAATCCAAGGCAACTGTCCATAATAATTACAGATGCGGAGGATCCAGATCACCCAGAAGCTGAGGCTGTTCATTTGCTTTCTTCGTTGCTCCTTTGTACTGAAAAGAAAATGAAATAGAAATTTCATGTTGGATGCTGCTGTTTCTCAGCTTTACTCAGTGCCAGAATATTCTAGATCCAATGAATAGTGTAAAGTGCTGTTTGTACACACAAACACACACACACACACACACACACACAGACAAACCCCAATGGACCTCAGCCACACTGTCTAGGACCCTTAGCCTGAAATGCCATTGCTGGGGGTTCTGGGAAGAACAACCCAGGGTTGGGGAGATGCTCAATCTGGTTTTGGAGACACCAGTGCCCTTCAGGATAAGCCCCCTGCAGCCCTGAATAATGGAGCAGCCCTGAATAATGGAGCCCCCTGCTGACCTACCTTATTAATGGAGTACCCAGACACAGCCCCACCTCCTCTCTACACCATCATGTTGCAGATTCTGCATCTGCTGAGGGCATTCCAGCGCCATCCTGTGTCCTGCTGCCTAACACGCCTCCTTGGTGTCTGTTCCATTACAGCACACCTGGGGCCCACTGGAGACAGACCAACCATCAGCACAAGGCTGAGGCAGTAACTTGACTCTGCAAAGGCAAGGGAAGGAGGCTGGGAGCTGGGACTTTGTGAAGTATGACAGACGTTTCCAGCTGAATCCAGAGCTCACCTGTCCTCAGGAGCACATGGTTCGGGCTCTTGGCAGGGTCAGGACAAGAGGAGATTGTCCCAGTTAAATGCTCTGGTTCACAGGACTGAGAAAAGGGGATTGCAGGTTTTATCCAAAGTGGGGGGAACTGTGGCATCGCTGCTCCCTACTCCTGCAGTCTCCTGACCTTGGGCCCCTCCTGACTGGGCTCAGGCAGCATCAGCACCAGCTCTCATGGCTGCTGTCAGCATACAGGCAGGACAGGTAGGACGCGACCCCCATACAGAGCTCAGGGTGACTGTACCCCCTTTCTTGCCCATATTCCTCAGAGACAGTTACTTCTCTGCACCTGCCCTGGCATCAAGGCTGTCTTCAAATCCTTCAGCTGTGGGTCTCAGCCAAGATTAGAGGGACGTCCCACCTCACTCAGAGCTGTAAGGAGCCTGTGGCAATAACTGAAAACTTCCTCAACATCTGCCTGCTAAGGGATCCCCCCTGGAGTTTGTTTATTAACCCTTTGCCAGCCTGTTCTCCAGACGCCCTGGCGTCCCACCGCCCCCTCGTGGCCGGTAACTGATGCTGCACCCAGTTTCCTTCCAGGCCTGCCAGTGTCTGCACAGCTCCAGGGGTGTCTCAGGCAGAGGCTGGGAGCCCGAGGAGGACACGCAGGGCTAGACATCAGGGTGCTCAGGACACCGGCTGACGCGAGGGGAGATGTGCTGGGCGGTGCTTCAGGCTCGCTTGTGGCACTGGCAATAGGAGAAGCGGACAAGACAGAGAAACGGGTAGCACAGGGCAGGCAGGGGAGGAGGCTTATTCTGGCCCTCATTGTCTCATTGCTTGGCAGCCATGAGAGCAGTCAGGACGGTCACGTCTACCAGGAGGGCAGGCTGCTCCCAGCCTCCAGGAGGCGTCCGTGGGACGGGGTGGAAGAGGTTCTAGAAGGGAGAAGAGGCCTGGGAGGTGGCAGCCCACTCTGCAGTTGCTGGACCAGCATGGTGGGGAGCCTGAGCTCAGGACAGGGCTTCTGGGTGGGCAGCCAGTGGAGGCTGAAGCCACTTCCAGTGTCCAGCACCTTCAGTCCTGGCCTTGGGGCGCGGGCCCGATCTGGGGCTTACTCCTTAGACCAGAGCGCCCTGACTGTTCTCATCAGCATCATCACAGGCACAGCATTCCGAGGCTCAGCGGGTCTCTCCCTGCCAAGCACAGCTGACTGCAAATCAGCTTCTTCTCAGTGGGGCACAGAGGGCCAGGCCCGTGTGCGCCTCCCGGCACTGTGAGGAGAAGGGGGCTGAGGTTTGTGAGGAGGAAGGCAGTGGCGGGGCCACGCTGTGTCTAAGCTGCTGGCGCACAGGTACACGGCCGAGTCCCCCTGCTGCACCGACTTGATCTCCAGAGTGGAGGGTGAATTCCTTGGCCACACAGCAGAGATCTGATCACCAGGCACCCCTGACTTGTCTACTAGACCATTGTTTTGGAAGTACAGCAGATACTTCGGGCCCTGCCCCAGGGTCTGTTGGTACCAGTACACGGCAGTGTGCCCAGAAATAGGGTCACAGCTGAGAGTTACATTCTGTCCAGTCTGTGCAACCCGGTACCTGGGGGTCTAGGTCACTCCAGCACCTGAGTGGGCTGTGGAGACAGGATCTGGGAATAGAATGAAGAAAACATCTGTGAACATTATCACATGCACAGACACACACACACACACACACACACTGGGCTGCTGGGTGTTGAGGACTCACCTGCCCCCAGGAGACAGAGGGCCGCCCAGCACAGGAGCCTGGTGTCCATGGCAGGGAGGCAGGAGCAGGAGCCGCCCGGGGGCTGTGAGCATGGCCGGGAGGAGGGGCGTCCTGGCCCCGCCAGGCAGTTCCTGTGGTGACATCACTGCCTCTGTTGCCCCACCTCAGGGTCAGGCTCTCCATGTCCCTTGGATGACAGCTTGGAAGGTTTTTTAGCGGCTTTTTCTCCTTAACAAACTCTTGCCTGTGCCTCAGCAACGGCCGCAGCGCTGTCTGGGCCTCCCTGGCACCTGGGCCGTGTTCTCATCACCCACCTCCCCTCGGGGTCCCGGGCGTTGTCCCCAAGCCGTGTCCAAGGCACCTCCGGGACCAGATGCCAAAGGTGTTCCCCGCCTCCTCGCAAGCCAGACCCCCTGTGAGTGTCACTATTCCCTGCACATCCCCTCCCCCTCCAGCCTCTCCTGGTCAGTGTCACCCATACCTGAGGCGAAGGTGCTCCTTCTTGAAGCCCCAAACTGCACAAACCTATTCAGAGACCCAGGGGTGAGATGATACTGAGAACACACTTTCTCTGCAGGTCGGTCGAGGCCCCCTCTGTGCCTCCTATGTCTGAGCTGTTCCATACGGTCCCAAGCAAGGTGGTGGCCTCCCGTGTGCTGGTGTTGAAACATGGGCTCCTCATCTATTCATGTGCAATAGTATCAGTGTCTCTTACTTTCTAATATATTGAAATCTTGTCACCATTTCTAATAAAACTCAGGGTTCATTTGGAATTGTTTTTACTCTTATAAATGTCATTTTCAAAGAATTGTCCTTTGCTTTTTTACTCACTGTATTATTGACAGAATATTGTCTTTATGATATTTTTCATCAGTCTCATTCTTTTTTTTAAAGATTTATTTATTTATGCAACAAGCGCTGGGGTACAGGCCAGAGAGGCCGGGTGTGAGAGGATTCACCAGAGACAGAGTGGGGAGCAGAACAGGCAGATCTACTGAAATCCACTGCTGAGGGGAGCAGCGGGGAGACAGGAGAGGTCTGCTGCACCACTTGTGTAACTCCCTGGCCGGGGATGGATCTCGTGCTGCAGTGGCTGGGATCGCTGGATAGTGCTGTGCCTTTAGCTGCACCACCAGGGAGGCCCCATCAGTCTTCAGTGAAGGAGGACTGTGGTTCTGAGTTAATCTCTACATCTAACTCCCTTTCATACCTTTTCTCTGTGGCTCTCAGTGTTCTTATTTCTTTGGAAAATTTTATCTTTTTGGCTACTTGAAATACCTTCTCATTGTTATCCATGGTCAACATTTTTACCATCAAATAAGTGAGGATGTGTGTTTTTAATCACTTGTGGAAATTTTTCAGCCTTTGTCATCTCCCTAATTTTTCCTTCTGAAATTTCAATCATAGGTAAGAAAAGGAAGTCCTGGTGAAAGGCTATGAGTGTTCTCACAGACGAAACACCCCGTTTTTTCTTTCCTATCCTTTTACTTCTCTTTCCTATTTTACATTTAGTCTGTGTGATATTTCATTATTTTCTTTGAATCTGTCTTATATGTCTCTAATAGGTCTTTTAGAACATCTAATCCGCGTTTTAACTTACCCATTTTTTTCAGTGTAAATCGTGTCTAGATATCCTATCCCTGGTTTTTTAAAGTGACCTGTTGCTTCTTGACAGTCTCTTTTCTTCCTCGTGTGTCAATTCCTTCTTATAGTTACTCAAATGCAGCTTTTTGAGCTAATGTATCTCCTAAGGTCAAATGGCTTCCATTTCAAATGTTTATAGTTTCCACTCACTTTCTTGCATGGGGTTTGCGCTTAGTACTCTCGCCTGGGGAAACATGTGTCTGTGTTAATCTGTGGGACTACGAGGGGCTGGAGTGAGCGCGCTATTCAGAGTCCACAATTCCTGGAGGAACAGCTGAAATCCCGAAGGTGTGAGCCGGGAATCGCCTGCTGTCCCTGGGCTGCTGAGAAACTGCAGGGTAAGAGTATCAGGAAATGTCCTCAGGGCAATATTTTAGGCCTGCATAGAATTCTGACTTCTGTTTAATTACACTCTCTCCATAAATCAGTCAATTAGGTAAGTGCATTAAGGATTTTCTGCTCTTCAATTATACACACACACACACACACACACACAGAGAGAGACAGACAGACAGACAGAGAGAGACAGAGAGACAGACAACCAGCCCTCACGTATGGACATTCTTTCTTCTTTACTTTCAGACCAAGCCATTAGTCACAGGACTCCAGGGCTCCCTGTGCTGACAGTGTACAAGAGCTCTGATGAGTCCCGGGGTGCAGGGCCCCCGCCTTCTTGTGCAGAGGGGAGGTGAGCCTGCAGCACTGTGCATAGCTGGTGGCACAGAAGTACACAGCTGTCTGGGAGGTGTTGGCAGACTTCAGCTCAAGAAGGAAGTTGTTCTTTTCTCTGGAGGCGTCATACCCCTCGTGGATGTCTCCCTTGTATACGGTACCAGAACCACGTGAGTAGTGGATCAGCTTCAGCCCGAGTCCTGGGTCCTGGCAATACCAGTACATGTAGTCGTGGTTCATATCCTGGTCACAACTCAGGTTCCTGCTCTGTTCTGTCCTCAGGATCTGGAATCTGGGGTTCTGAAAGACCCCAGCCTTCACCACACCTGTGCAAAGGAGATGAAGCTAATGGAGCCACAGACCCAACAGAAAGGCTGAGCACGGAGGCCTTGACCATGTCCCCAGGACAGGGGCCCCGCCCAGGACTCACCTGCCTGCAGGAGACCCCAGACCCCCCAGCACAGGAGGGGGACGCTCATGGCAGAGACAGGAGACTGCGGGTGCTGGGGCTGTGGGTGCTGGTGAGAGGGGAGCGGGGCTGTGAGGGAGTGTTGTGAGATGTCACAGCCCTCCTGGCCCAGGGCCAACCTGTGACAGGGCCACGCCCATCCCCTGGGGTCAGTGGGTGCTCAGAGCTCACAGGCCCTCCTGCCCAGGACCTCAGGTGGGTAAAGATCTGGGAGCAGGGGTGACTCCAAGGTGAGTGGAAAATGTTCTTTTGTTATTTGAAACATTGCATGTCACAGGGGCGTCTCTTCACGCAGAACGACTGTCACTAGCTGGGTGATGAGTACAGCCGGGTGTCAGGTGCTCTGGGGCACGGAATCCCCTCCTTAGAGGACCTGGGTCAGCTCAGATCTGCGGCCTTACCTCCATGTTCTGAATCAGGGTTGAGCCTCGGCCCCACACCATGCAGCCGGTGCTGAGGCCGTGACCTTGTGTTTCTGAGGTCCTGCGGGTGTGCCGGGTCCCCGGGGCTCCAGCTCCCGTGCTGGGTGTGAGATGTCAGCGTCCCAGGGGCCAAGAGAAGGACACAGACCCTGAGCCCAGAATCACAGGAGGAGCCTGATGTTGGAGACTCAAGTCCAGGCCTTGGCCTGCGGCCTGGAAAACCAGTGGGTCCCGGTCGGTGCCCAGGACTCTGCCCTGGATGGGGGACACGCAGCAGGGGACTGGAGGCAGCAAGGCCAGAGCAGGAGGGGGCTCCCCTCTGCACCCAGTGTCCTGGGGAGCTCATCTCCGTCACCCATGTCACTAGAGCCACCTCGTCTGAAAGGACAGAGAGAAACTTGTGATCTTGAAGGCAGGAATGTCCCTTCATTAACTGCATCACAGGGAGAGTTATGAACACGGGATTAGAGCCCACGGCCCCGGAAGCCCCCGCCCCGTGCGTGCGAAGGGCTGTTGCATTTGGTCAAGTTATTTTACTTGGACAAATTCCCTCATCTCTGGAACGAGAACAGTGACTGCATTCGCCTCTAACAGTTTTCTCTCAGAAATAATTAAAGTTTATTTTTTTTTTTAAATGAAGGGAAAATAGCAACTTGACAGTAAACCCCACTCGTACGTTGTTTTCGCGACGCCTCTTCCCCTGGGGTTGTTTCCTTCGGTGTTTGACCGTCCATGAAGCCCGCAGGCTTCTGTAGAGAGTCAAATGTGAAGGTGCATATGGGATTTTCAAACTGAACCTTAAAATCTCAGTCAGGAACCATTTTCATATTACAGAGCGTGATTCAATAACACCCTGTGCAAGAGGGGACTGAACACACTTGTGGGAAAAAGCAGGTCTGAATAATGATGATTCGGGTCCGTTTTCCCCGGGAACTGAATCATGAAGAGGAGACGGCGCGTCCTTGCGGGGAGTCCCGCCCCACTTCCATGCAGCTGGGGGGGCACATCTGGGGGCTCCCTGGCCTTGAAGCCCCCATGCTGATGGCCCTGACTGAGGCCCGAGGTGGGGGATGCAGTGCAGGAAACATTTTATTTCATAAGGGAAAATCAGAGGATGTTCTTTGCCTTGCAGTTACATGGCCCTTGAGGTTTTCTGGGTGGGTGTTGTGATGATCAGAAAAAAAGCATCATCTTCCCTGCGCGCTAATCTGGGCCTGGAAGGGGAAGCCAAATGAGGGGTGATTCTACCTGGGGGGGTGGGGAGCATAGGTGTTCAAAGCAACTTGAGTTTGGTTCCTCCCTGGAGCAGTTCTGAAATGGAGCCAGGGACGGACACTTCCCCACAGACAGTAAATTACTAAAATAAATAAATCTTTTGGCTGTTTTCCTGTCATCACATATCACACACAGGAGCCAAAACACACTGTCCTACCCCGGGGCTGAGCCTCCTGCCCCTGACCTGCCCTCCCCCTCACTTCCTGAGCTGGGCTGGAGGGTATTTGTGCTCTGGGCTGCTGCTCCTGCAGGGCTGTGCCAAGCTGCTGGCGCAGAGATACAGGGCCGTGTCCCCGGCTCCACGAAGCCCATGTTCAGCTCAGAGCGATGATGGACTTCCAACTGCCCAACTTTGAATCTATCAGGGAGACTTCCTTTTTCTCGATCTTCTCCAGCATAATAATGAACCAGGAACTCAGGGCCCTGGCCCGGGGACTGCTGGTACCAGTACACAGACAGGTGTCCTTTCTCATAGGAACATGCGAGATTCGCGTTCTGTCCTCTCGCTGTGACCAGATACTTGGGGTTCTGCGTGACTTCAGAGTCCACTGGGCCTGTGGGAGGAGACACACAGGAGCTGAGGCAGAGCCAGGGGAAGCCTCTGCTCAGCCATCACCAGGGCAGGCAGGTCACCAGGCATCTGAGCCTCTCCCAGGCTCCCCAGGGTGCCAGGACCCACCTGTTCCCAGGAGACAAAGGGCCACACTGCAGAGGAGCCTGGAGCCCATGGCGGCCTCAGGCCCTGGCAGCTCCTGGTTCAGGGAGGTCTGAGTTAGTCACCTCCCAGGCCCTGATTGGACACTTGCTGCTGATGTCACTGTTGTGACATCACTGTCCTGCTGTTCCTCTCTCTGCAGGACTCCCCTGGCCTGCTGTGCCTTTAACAGAGCCCAAGGCTGGCCACTCTCTGTTCAGTCCCTGTCTGCACAGCGCACACGTGGGTGGGTGTGGGCTCAGCCCCTCCCCCTATGCCCACAAATACCTGTTCTCTTCTGTCTGCCTCTCTTGACACTAGTTACCATCATCATCATCTCTTCACCTTTCCTTCCCTTGCAGTTGAAGGGACAGATGAGAGGAAGGACCATGACCACTTCCCTGGACAGGGGAGTCTCTGTGACTGCACTATTCCCTGGACCTCCCAGTGCCTCAGCCCCCTCCCTGACAAGGCATGTGTCCAAGACTCCCCTTCAGCTGGGCCCTCCTGGGCACTGACCCCTCCTCCAGAGCACCTGCACATCTGTGGGCCCACAGCGACTCCCAGTGGCCACAGGTCCTCAGGCCCATGGATACCCCTGGTGTGTGGGAATCAGAGTGGACACTACTCCACCTGCCCAGTGCTCAGCTCTCCATTTACTGTTCTTTCAGTCTGGCTGCCTTAAGACTGAGATTTAAGTCCACTCATACATGTGAATTTACTGTAAGAACAATCATTTGATCAAGCAGGGGATGATTATTCCACCATTAGCACATGATGATGGAAAACAACAGGCGCCATAAACAGGCCATGAAAATGAATATTTCCTAACACAGCTCCTCCTGGTCCCGAGACCTAAGGATCCACTAGTAAGTACTCACTTTTAGACAGAGCATTTATAAAAAGGATTTACGTATTTTACATAACATTTCTGATCTTATAAACTCTTAAAACTTGTCAGTGATAATGAACACTCCCAGCCAGGACTAAAGTCCTTCATCTAAACTCCTTAATCTATAGACATCCTCTCTTGTCTCCCTTGTTACCCCGCCACCAACTTTACCAGAAATCTCAACTCTCAGAATTACATTTACAGACGTTGTATTTACTCAGGATACAGAAAGTGCCTCTTGTTGAATTGTGCATTTCCACACCAGGGACAGAGGCTTGCACAAACTGATGCTGGCCCCACAAGGGAATATTCTATAGAAACTCTTACACACGCTCTCTGCCTTGGGGCTCACTCACGCTCACACACGGGAGCTCAGGCTGGGAGGCCAGGACCTGAGTGTGAAAACCCATGCAGAGTCCTTGCATCAGAGAATTGCTCGTGATCAGTGAATCAAGACAAGCAGGGGCAAAAGTCATAGTTTACTGTTTATTCCTGACTCTGTCAGAGCAAAATCTCTCCCCCTCTGAGGCCCGGGCTCTCATGTCAGTAGACGAGCACATTGTGTGGGTCCTGACTTAACCTGCAGGTGGGACGTGGTCATGGGGACCGGGCCAGGGCTGGGAGCCATGGGTCAGAGGGCATGTGCACCCCGAGCACAGGAGGCCAGACCTTGGACCATACTGGACTCGGAGATGTGGACAGAGAGTCTGAGGGGCTCTCAGGTGGTGACTGCTGTCAGAGGAGTCAGGACAGTCGGGGATTGTCCTCCATCCTGTAGGTGTGTTTGGGTGTTTCCCTTTCCTGGCTGGGGCAGGGCCTCCATAAGGGGCAGGGTCACTGGCTCCCCACACAGGTAGGCTGGTCCTCAGCCTGGATCTCACTTTGATGAGTCAACAGATCACGGAGGACATGAGCCCTGTCCACGGGGGCATTTCTCTTGTGAGGAGTCCAAAGGGGGCCAGAATCTTCCCGTTGTCTGTAAGAACTGGTCCAGGAGCCTGTCTGAGACGAGATAATGTCCTCCCGACTCCACTGGCCTCACTCTGACCTGGAGTCCTGCTGTCCAGGGCCTTCAAGCCTCACAGAAGCGCAGGAAGGAGACAGAGCCCCTGCTTTGGAGGGAGTCTGAATCCACAGTCATGAGAGAAAATCCTTAGTCAGGACCTGGACATCTAGATCTGAGCCAGAGCAGTTGGGGGGCAGGTCACCTGGGACAGGTATATAGGGATTAAACCAACTTCACCTCTAGGAGGAACTTGTGTAAACTTCGTGTTGTAGAGAGTCACAGCAACTGCCCTAGCAACATTAAAATTGCATAAAGTTGAAAAATAATCAGATAAGCTGTAAACTTTCAACTCAGCATCACAGTCACCTGCTCCATCCAGGGCCTCACGCACTTTGGGCACAGGCACCCATGAGAGTTTAGAACAAGGGACTGAGCTCCACAGGGCAGGGAGAGTGTCCTGCCCATGTGTGGAGGGACAACAGCAGCAGACACACCTCGCGTGTCACTGTCCTCCTTGGGGAGTCAGTGGCTGCTCAGGGCACCTCCTGCCCAGGAGCACACGTGAGTGTGGAGATCAGGGTAGGTGCAGAATCGAAGGAGAATGGAAAATGTTCTCTTTTTATTGGGTGATCACATGTCACGGGGCTCTCCTTGTGCAGAACAATTGTCAATAGTGAGTGATGAGTATAGCCGGGGTAACAGGTGCTCAGGGGCCCGGAACACCCTCCTTAGAAGACCGGAGTCAGCCCAGGTCTGTGGCCATGACCTTCATGTTCTGAATCAACATTGAGTCTCAGACCCACAGATTATGCAGCTGGTCCTGAGGCCATGACATTGCATTTCTCATCTGGGGTTCCTAAGGGGGTGCTAGGTCCCTGAGGCATCAGCTCCTGTCCTGGGTCTGGGGGAGTCAGCAAACCCGGGCTACAAGGAGCCGTGCAGAGAGTCAGAGGAGCAGCCAGTTGAGGACACTGCTCACACATCTACAAATAAGACAAATAATACTGATGGACTGATGTGGTGATGAGCAGTAAAATGCTTGATCTTCTCTGCATGGCTAATCTGGGCCTGGAAGGGGAAGCCAGATGAGGGGTGATTCTACAGGGGGGTCGGTGGGAAGCACAGGTGTTCAAAGCAAACTTGAGTTTGGCTCCTCCCTGCAGCAGTTCTGAAATAGAAGCGGGGAAGGAATTTCCCACAGATAATGAGATAGTAAAATAATACTTCTGTTGGCGGTTTTCCACCTATCACATATCACACCCAGGATCCCAGAGACACTGTCCTGCCCCCAGTGCTGAGCCTCCTGCCCCAGCCCCCGCCTCCCCCTCACTTCCTGAGCTGGGCCTGAGGGTTTTTGTGCTCTGGGCTGCTGCTCCTGCAGGGCTGTGCCAAGCTGCTGGCACAGAGATACAGGGCCGAGTCCTCTAGCTCCAGGAGGTCCATGTTCAGCTGAGAGCGATAATTGTCTTTCAACTGCTCAACATTGAATCAGTCAGGGAGACTTTCTTTGTCTCGCTCGTTCCCATTGTAATACTGAACCAAGAACTTGGGGCCCTGGTCCAGGGCCTGCCGGTACCAGAACACAGACAGGTGTCCATTCTCATAGGAACAACTCAGTGTCACATTCTTTTTTCTCGCTGTGACCAGATACTTGGGGTTCTGCGTGACTTTAGAGTCCACTGGGCCTGTGGGAGGAGACACACAGGAGCTGAGGCAGAGCCAGGGGAAGCTTCTGCTCAGCCATCACCAGGGCAGGCTGGTCACCAGGCAGCTGAGCCACTCCCGAGCTCCCCAAGGTGCCAGGACCCACCCGCTCCCAGGAGACAAAGGGCCACACAGCAGAGGAGCCTGGAGTCCATGGCGGCCTCAGGCCCTGGCAGCTCCTGGCTTAGGGGGGTCTGAGTTAGTCACCTCCTGGGCCCTGATTGGGTACATGCCATTGATGTCACTGTTGTGACATCACTGTCCTGCTATTCAACTCCCTGCAAGACTCCCCTGGCCAGCTGCATCTTTAACAGGACCAGGGCTGGGAGCCATGCACCCCGAGCACAGGAGGCCGGACCTTGGACTTTCCTGGACTTGGAGATGTGGGCGGAGAGTCTGAGGGGCTCAGGTGGTGACTGCTGTCAGAGGAGTCAGGACAGTCGGGGATTGTCCTCAATCCTGTAGGTGTGCTTGGGTGTTTCCCTTTCCTGGCTGGGGCAGGGCCTCCATAAGGGGCAGGGTCACCGGCTCCCCCCACAGGTAGGCTGGTCCTCAGCCTGGATCTCACTTTGATGAGTCAACAGATCACAGAAGACATGAGCCCTGTCCATGGGAGCATTTCTCTTGTGAGGCATCAAAAGGGGGCCAGAACCTTCCCATTGTCTGTAAGAACTGGTCTAGGAGCCTGTCTGAGGTAAGTTAATGTCCTCCTGACTCCACTGGCCTCACTCTGACCTGGGGTCCTGGAGTTCAGGCTCTTCCAGCATCACAGAAGCACAGGAAGGAGACGGAGCCCCAGCTTTGGAGGGAGTCTGAATCCATGGTCAGGAGAGAAAATCCTTGGTCTGGACCTGGACATCTAGATCTGAGCCAGAGCAGTTGGGGCCCAGGTCACCTGGGACAGGTGTATAGGGATTAAGCCAACTTCACCTCAAGGAGGAACTTGTGTAAACTTCGTGTTGTAGAGAGTCACAGCAACTGCCCTTGCAACATTAAAATTGCATAAAGGTGAAAAATAACCAGATAAGCTGTAAACTTTCAACTCAGCATCACGGTCACCTGCTCCATCCAGGGCCTCACGCACTTTGGGCACAGGAACCCATGAGAGTTTAGAACAAGGGACTGAGCTCCACAGGGCAGGGAGAGTGTCCTGCCCATGTGTGGAGGGGCAGCAGCAGCAGACACACCTCACGTGTCACTGCCCTCCTTGGGGAGTCAGTGGCTGCTCAGGGGACCTCCTGCCCAGGAGCTCAGGTGAGTGTGGGGTTCAGGGGAGGGGAGGAACCAAGGGAGAATGGAAAATATTCCCTTTTTATTGGGTGATCACATGTCATGGGGCTTTCCTCGTGCAGAGCAATTGTCACTAGTGAGTGATGAGTATAGCCGGGGTAACAGGTGCTCAGGGGCTCGGAAACCCTCCTTACAGGACTGGGTTCAGCCCAGTCTGTGGCCATGATCTTCATGTTCTGAATTAGGTTTGAGCCTCAGGCCCACAGATCATGTAGCTGGTCCTGAGGCCGTGACCTTGCATTTCTCATCTGGGGTTCTTAAGGGGGTGCTGGGTCCCTGGGGCATCAGCTTCTGTCCTGGGTCTGGGGGTGTCAGCAAACCTGGGCTACAAGGAGCCGTGCAGAGAGTCAGAGGAGCAGCCTGTTGAGGACACTGCTCACACATCTACAAATAAGCCAAATAACACTGATGGATTGATGGGGTGATGAGCAGTTAATTGCCTGATCTTCTTTGTGCAGCTAATCTAGGCCTGGAAGGGAAGCCAGATGAGGGGCGATTCTACTTGGGGAGGTGGTGGGAAGCACAGGTGTTCAAAGCAGACTTGAGTTTGGCGGTTTTTCTGTCATCACATATCACACACAGGAGCCCAGAGACACTGTCCTGCCCCCAGGGCTGAGACACCTGCCCCAGCCCCGCCCTCCCCCTCACTTCCTGAGCTGGGCTGGAAGGTTTTTGTGCTCTGGGCTGCTGCTCCTGCAGGGCTGTGCCAAGCTGCTGGCACAGAGATACAGGGCCGAATCCCCCACCTCCACGGAGCTCATGTTCAGCTGAGAGTGATGATCGCCTGTCGACTGCCCAACTTTGAATCGGTCAGGGAGACTTCCTTTGTCTCGCTCGTCCCCATTGTAATACTGAACCAGGAACTCGGGGCTGTGGCCCTGGGCCTGCCGGTACCAGTACACAGACTCGTGTCCAGTCTTATAGGAACATCTCAGGGTCACGTTCTGTCCTCTTGCTGTGACCAGATACTTGGGGTTCTGCGTGACTTCAGAGTCCACTGGGCCTGTGGGAGGAGACACACAGGAGCAGAACCAGGGGAATCGTCTGCTCAGCCATCACCAGGGCAGGCGGGTCCCCAGGCAGCTTAGCCTCTCCTGGGCTCCCCAGGGTGCCAGGACCCACCTGCTCCCAGGAGACAAAGGACCACACAGCAGAGGAGCCTGGAGCCCATGGCGGCCTCAGGCCTTGGCAAGTCCTGGCTCAGGGGGGTCTGAATTAGTCACCTCCTGGGCCTTAATTGGGTACTTGCTGCTGATGTCACTGCTGTGACATCACTGCCCTACTATTCAACTCCCTGCAGGACTCCCCTGGCCTGCTGCGCCTTTAACAGAGCCCAAGGCTGGTCACTCTCTGTCCATGCCCTGTCTGCACAGCCCGCACTTGGGTGGTTTGGGCTCTACCCCTCCCCATATGCCCACAAGCACTTGTTCTCCCCTGTCTGCCTCTCTTGACACTGTTACCATCATCATCATCTCTTTACCTTTCCTTCCCTTGCAGTTGAAGGGACAGAGGAGGCGAAGGCCACGTCCACTTCCCTGGACAGGAGAGTCTCTGTGACTGCACGTGTCCAGGGACCTCCCAGTGACTCAGCCCCCTCCCTGACAAGGCATGTGGGCAAGACTCCCCTTCAGCTGGGCCCTCCTGGGCACTGACCCTCCCTCCAGAGCACCTGCTCTTCTGTGGGCCCACAGCGCCTCCCAGTGGCCACAGGTCCTCAGGCCCATGGATTCCCCTGGTGTGTGGGAATCAGAGTGGACACTCCTCCAATGGCCCAGAGCCCAGATTCCATTCACTTCTCTCTCAGCCTGGCCACCTTAAGGCTGAGATTTAAGTCTACTCATATGTGTGCACTGAATGTAAGAACAATCCTCTAGATCAAGAAGGGGATGATTATTCCACCATTAGCACACGATGATGGAAACACCAGGCTCCATACACAGGCCATGAAAATGAGTATTTCCCAACACAGCTCCTCCTCTGAGACCTATGCATTTCCACTAGTAAGTACTGATTTTTAGAGCATTTATGAAAAGGATATACGTATTTTACATAAAATTTCTAATCTTATAATCTCTTAAACCTGTCGGTGATAATGAACACTCCCAGCCAGGACTGGAGTCCTTCATGTAAATTCCTTAATCTATAGACATCCTCTCTTCTCTCCCTTGTTACCCGCCACCAACTTTATCAGAAATCAACTCTCAGACGTTATATTTACTCAGGATACAGAAAATGCCACTTGTTAAATAGTGCATTTCCACACCAGGACAGAGGCTTGTACAAACTGATGCTTTTCTCTCTAGGGAATATTCTATAGAAACTCTGACACACTCTCTCTGCCTCGGGCTCCCTCACACTGACACACGGGAGCTCAGGCAGGGAGGCCAGGACCTGAGTGTGAAACCCCACGCAGAGTCCTTGCATCAGAGAATTGCTTGTGATCTGTGAATGAAGATGAGCAGGGGACAAAAGTCATAGTTTACTGTTTATTCCTGACTCTCTCAGAGTAAAATATCTGTCTCCCTCTGAGGCCCGGGCTCTCATGTCAGTAGACGAGCACGTTGTGAGAGTCCCCACTTAACCCACAGGTGGGACATAGTCAGGGGGACGGGACCTGGGCTGGGAGCCGCAGGCCAGAGCGCATGTGCACCCCGGGCACAGGAGGCCAGGCCTCGGGCTCCCTGACTCGCAGACGTGGGCGGGGAGTCTGAGGGGCTCAGGGCTGTGACTGTTGTCAGAGGAGTCAGGACAGCCGGGGATTGTCCTCCATCCTGTAGGTGTGTTTGGGAATTTCCCTTTCCTGGCTGGGGCAGGGCCTCCATAAGGGGCAGGTTCACCGGCTCCACCCACAGGCAGCTGGTCCTCAGCCTGGATCTCACTTTGATGAGTCAACAGATCAGGGAGGACATGAGCTCCTGTCCACGGGGGCATTTCTCTTGTGAGGAGTCCAAAGGAGGCCAGAACCTTCCCATTGTCTGTAAGAGCTGGTCCAGGAACCTGTCTGAGACGAGATAATGTCCTCCCGACTCCACTGGCCTCACTCTGACCTGGGGTCCTGCAGTCCAGGCTCTTCCAGCCTCACAGAAGCTCAGGAAGGAGACAGAGCCCCTGCTTTGGAGGGAGTCTGAATCCACAGTCGGGAGAGAAAATCCTTAGTCAGGACCTGGACATCTAGATCTGAGCCAGCGCAGTTGGGGGCAGGTCACATGTGATAAAGCAACTTTACCTCATTAAGCATAATGGGGGGATGAAAGTGGTGAAGGCCGAGTCAAGTTGGAAAGACTGCGCGAGCAGGTGTCGGCCCTCAAACAATCCACGCTGGGCTCTCAGGTGATGTGCACAGGTAGGAGCAAAACTGCATCTGCCAGACACCATTTCCTTTACATTCTGGGCTAGAGCTTGTCAAGGAGGAACTTGTGTAAACTTCGTGTTGTAGAGAGTCTCAGCAACTGCCCTTGCAACATTAAAAGTGCATAAAGGTGAAAAATAATCAGATAAGCTGTAAAGTTTCAACTCAGCATCACGGTCACCTGCTCCATCCAGGGACTCAGCCACTTTGGGCACAGGCACCCATGAGACCTTAGAACAAGGGACTGACCTCCACAGGGCAGGGAGGGAGAGCGCCTGGGGAGCAGGTGTGGGGCTGCGCTCCCCGGAGCAGGAGTGAGTCTCTTCAGGAAGGAAGGGTCCATGTCCAGATGTGGAAACAGACCCAGTCTCTGAGATAAGAAGGGGTGACAGGTGACACCAGGGGCATGGGGCTAAAGGCCAGGTGAGCTGTGAAAGATAGCACAGGGGCTGGTAGCACAGGGGCATGTGCACCCAGAGGCAGCAGAGGTGTGACTACCTCACCTGGGTTCACACCGACTGCAGGGACCCCACTACAGCAGGGTTCCTTGAGCTCAGAGTTGCAAAGGGCTCTGCTGAATCCCGGGGTTCAACGACCCCGCCTTCTTGTGCAGAGAGGAGGTGAGCCTGCAGCGCTGTGCATAGCTGGTGGCACAGAAGTACACAGAAGTCTGGGAGCGGGTGGCAGGCTCCAGCGTGAGCATGTAGTCAGCTGTGTCTGGTCTGGAGTCCTGGTACCCACTATGGATGTCTCCTTCCAGTTTACTATTGGAGCCGAGGGAGTAATAGATCAGCCTGAGCCCAAGTCCCGGGTCCTGGCAATACCAGTACATGTTGTCATAGCCCATCTCTTGGACACCACTCAGGTTGCACCTCTGTCCTGACCTCTGGATATGAAATCTGGGGTCCTGAGAGACTCCAGCCTTCATCACACCTGTGCACAAGGAGACGAAATTGATGGAGCTGCAGACAAAATGGAGAGGCTGAGCACTGAGGCCTTGACCGTGTCTCCCAGGACAGGGGCCCCGCCAGGACTCACCTGCCTGCAGGAGACCCCAGACTCCCCAGCACAGGAGGAGACCCTGATGGCAGGGACAGGAGACTGAGGGTGCTGGGGCTGTGGGTGCTGCTGAGAGGGGAGCGGGGCTGTGAGGGAGTGTTGTGAGATGTCACAGCCCTCCTGGCCCAGGGCCAACCTGTGACAGGGCCACGCCCCTCCCCGGGCTCCAATGACAAGTGTCCAGTGAGCAGCTCCGAGTGGAGAGTGTGTTACTCTAAGTGAACTAGTCTTATACTTTGCTCTGTCTGCTTGTAAATCAGTGTGAAACTTTATATTATTTCTTCCTGTGATATTATTTTTCACCACACACTCGTCTCTTCATCTAATTATTTCTATAGTTCTGAAACTTTAAAGAATATATGTAGCACCTTGATGTGCGCGATGGCTGGAGGGTCCAAATCATCCAAGAGTTTTTCTGCATCTTAGTGACGAGTCCCACTTCTCTCCTTCCATCCACAGCGGCGCCGCTGCCGTCTGGATCATCAACATTTCAGACTCACTTTGCTGTTTCATCTAAGTCATTGTACTGGACACTGGCCGGGGCTGCTGCAGAGTGTCCTGCCCCTGAACCCTGACCCCATGTGGAGGGGCAGCAGCAGCGGACACACCACCCATGTCACTACCCTCCTTGGGGAGTCAGTGGCTACTCAGGGGACCTCCTGTCCAGGAGCTCAGGTGAGTGTGGGATTCAGAGAAGGAGCAGAATCCAGGGAGACTGGAAAATATTCTCTTTTTATTGGGTGATCACAAGTCACGGGGCTCTCCTTGTGCTCATGATTGTCACTAATGAGTGATGAGTATAACCGGGGTAACAGGTGCTCAGGGGCACGGAAACCCCTCCTTAGAAAACTGGAGTCAGCCTATGTCTATGGCCGTGACCTTCATGTTCAAATCAGGTTTGAGCCTCAGACTCACAGAATATGCAGCCGGGCCTAAGGCCATGACCTTGTGATTCTCATATGGGGTCCCTGAGTGGGTGCCGAGTCCATGGGGCGTCAGCTCCTGTCCTGGGTCTGGGAGAGTCAGCATACCTAGGCTAAAAGGAGCCGTGTAGCCAGAGTCAGAGGGGCAGCCTGTTGAGGACTCTGCTCACACATTTACAAATAAGCCAAATAACACTGATGGATTGATGGGTGATGAGCAGTAAATTACTTAATCTTCCCTGCATGGCTACTCTGGGCCTGGAAGGGGAAGACAGAAGAGGGGTGATTCTACCTGGGAGCATGGGAGCACAGGTGTTCAAAGCAGACTTGAGTTTGGTTCCTCCCTGCAGCATCTCTGAAATCAAACCAGGGAAGGACATTTCCCACAGATAATGAGAAAGTAAAATAATACTTCCGTTGGCTGTTTGCCTGTCATCACATATCACACACAGGAGCCCAGAGACACTGTCCGACCCCCCAGGGCTGAGCCTCCTGCCCCAGCCCCGCCCTCCCCCTCACTTCCTGAGCTGGGCAGGAGGGTTTTTGTGCTCTGGGCTGCTGCTCCTGCAGGGCTGTGCAAGCTGCTGGCGCAGAGATACAGGGCCGTGTCCCCCAGCTCCACGGAGCTCATGTTCAGCTCAGAGCGATGATCGTCTTCCAACTGCCCAAATTTGAATCGATGAGGGAAACTTTCTTTTTCTAGCTCTTTCCCACCATAATACCGAACCAGGAAAGCTGGACCCTGGCCCAGGGCCTGCTTGTACCAGTACACATTCGTGTGTCCTTGCTCATAGGAACATGTCAGGGTCACGTTCTGTCCTCTTGCTGTGACCAGATACTTGGGGTTCTGTGTGACTTCAGAGTCCACTGGGCCTGTGGGAGGAGACACACAGGAGCTGAGGCAGAGCCAAGGGAAGTGTCTGCTCAGCCATCACCAGGGCAGGCTGGTCACCAGACAGCTGAGTTTCTGCCCAGCTCCCCAGGGTGCCAGGACCCACCTGCTCCCAGGAGACAAAGGGCCACACAGCAGAGGAGCCTGGAACCCATGGCAGCCTCAGGCCCTGGCAATTCCTGGCTAAGGGGGTTCTGAGTTAGTCACCTCCCGGGACCTGATTGGGCACTTGCCGCTGATGTCACTGCTGTGACGTCACTGCCCTGCTGTTCCTCTCCCAGCCTTACTCCCCAGGCCTGTTGTACCTTAACAGGACCCAAGGCTGGTCACTCTCTGTCCATTCCTGTCTGCACAGCCCGCACATGGGTGGCTGTGGGCTCAGCCCTCCCCCTACGCCCACAAACACTTGTTCTCCCCTGTCTGCCTCTCTTGACACTGGTTACCATCATCATCATCTCTTTACCTTTCCTTCCTTTGCAGTTGAAGGGACAGAGGAGGGGAAGGCCACGTCCACTTCCCTGGACAGGGGAGTCTCTGTGACTGCACGTGTCCAGGGACCTCCAGATGCCTCAGCCCCCTCCTTGACAAGGCATGTGGCCAAGACTCCCCTTCAGCTGGGCCCTCCTGGGCACTGACCCCGCCTCCAGAGCACCTGCACATCTGCGGGCCCACAGCACCTCCCAGTGGCCACAGGTCCTCAGGCCCATGGATACCCCTGGTGTGTGGGAATCAGAGTGGACACTCCTCCACCAGCCCAGTGCCCAGACTCCATTTACTTCTCTCTCAGCCTGGCTGCCTTAAGGCTGAGATTTCAGTCCACTCATATGTGTGCACTGATTGTAACAACAATCTTTTGATCAAGAAGGGGATGATTATTCCACCATTAGCACACGATGATGGAAAACACCAGGCACCATATTATTTCTTCCTGTGATATTATTTTTCACCACACACTCGTCTCTTCATCTAATTATTTCTATAGTTTTGAAACTTTAAAGAATATATGTAGCACCTTGATGTGTGCGATGGCTGGAGGGTCCAAATCATCCAAGAGTTTTTCTGCATCTTAGTGACGAGTCCCACTTCTCTCCTTCCATCCACAGCAGCGCCGCTGCCGTCTGGATCATCAACATTTCAGACTCACTTTGCTGTTTCTTCTAAGTCACTGTACGGGACACTGGCCGGGGCTGCTGCAGAGTGTCCTGCCCCTGAACCCTGACCCCATATGAAGGGTCAGCAGCAGCGGACACATCACCCATGTCACTGCCCTTCTTGGGGAGTCAGTGGCTACTCAGGGGACCTCCTGTCCAGGAGCTCAGGTGAGTGTGGGATTCAGAGTTGGGGCAGAATCCAGGGAGATTGGAAAATGTTCTCTTTTTTTTGGGTGATCACAAGTCACGGGGCTCTTCTTGTGCTCATGATTATCACTAGTGAGTGATGAGTATAACCGGGGTAACAGGTGCTCAGGGGCACGGAACCCCCTCCTTAGAATACCGGGTCAGCCCATGTCTGTGGCCATGACCTTCATGTTCAAATCAGGTTAGAGCCTCAGGTCCACATCATGCAGCCGCTCCTGAGGCCATGACCTTTTGTTTCTCATCTGGGTCCTTGAGAGGGTGCTGGGTCCCTGGGGCGTCAGCTCCTGTCCTCGGTCTGTGGGAGTCAGCAAACCCAGGCTACAAGGAGCCGTGTAGACAGAGTGAGAGGAGCAGCCTGTTGAGGACACTGCTCACGCATCTACAAATAAGCCAGATAACACTGATGGATTGATGGGGTGATGAGCAGTAAAATGCTTGATTTCCCTGTGCAGCTAATCTGGGCCTGGAAGGGGAAGCCAGATGAGGGGTGATTCTACCTTGGGGGTGGTGGAAAGCACAGGTGTACAAAGCTGACTGAGTGGTTCCTCCCTGCAGCAGCTCTGAAATTGAAGGAGGGAAGGACACTTCCACACAGATAATAAGAGAGTAAAATAATACTTCTGTTGGCGGTTTTCCTTCATCACATATCACACAATGAGCCCCAGAGACACTGTCCTGCCCCCCAGGACTGAGGTTCCTGCCCCAGCCTGCCCTCCCCAACACATCCTGAGTTGTGCTGGAGGTTTTTATACCTGGGCTGCTGCTCTTGCAGGGCTGTGCCAAGCTGCTGGCACAGAGATACAGGCCGAGTCCCCCAGTTCCATGAGGGTCATGTTCAGATCAAAGCGATGATGGTCTTTCAAATGCCCAACTATGAATCGTTGAGGGAGACTTCCTTTATCTTTCTCTGTCCCACCAAAATACTGAACCAGGAACTCAAAATTATACACATAAACACACACACACACACACACACACCACAGACAGAGAGACACAGATAGACAGATAGACAGACAGACAGAGAGACAGGCAACCAGCCCTCACGTATGGACATTCTTTCTTCTTTACTTTCAGACCAAGCCATTAGTCACAGGACTCCAGGGCTCCCTGTGCTGACAGTGTACAAGAGCTCTGATGAGTCCCAGGGTGCAGGGCCCCCGCCTTCTTGTGCAGAGGGGAGGTGAGCCTGCAGCGCTGTGCATAGCTGGTGGCACAGAAGTACACAGCTGTCTGGGAGGTGTTGGCAGACTTCAGCTCAAGAAGGAAGTTGTTCTTTTCTCTGGAGGCGTCATACCCCTCGTGGATGTCTCCCTTGTATACGGTACCAGAAACATGTGAGTAGTGGATCAGCTTAAGCCCGAGTCCCGGGTCCTGGCGATACCAGAACATGTAGTCGTGGTTCATATCCTGGTCACAACTCAGGTTCCTGCTCTGTTCTGTCCTCAGGATCTGGAATCTGGGGCTCTGAAAGACCCCAGCCTTCACCACACCTGTGCACAAGGAGACGAAGCTGATGGAGCCACAGACCCAACAGAAAGGCTGAGCACTGAGGCCTTGACCTTGTCCCCCAGGACAGGTGCCCTGTCCAGGACTCACCTGCCTGCAGGAGACCCCAGACCCCCCAGCACAGGAGGGGGACGCTCATGGCAGGGACAGGAGACTGCGGGTGCTGGGGCTGTGGGTGCTGGTGAGAGGGGAGCGGGGCCGTAAGGGAGTGTTGTGAGATGTCACAGCCCTCCTGGCCCAGGGCCAACCTGTGACAGGGCCACGCCCATCCCCTGGGGTCAGTGGGTGCTCAGAGCTCACAGGCCCTCCTGCCCAGGACCACAGGTGGGTAAAGATCTGGGAGCAGGGGTGACTCCAAGGTGAGTGGAAAATGTTCTTTTGTTATTTGGAACATTGCATGTCACAGGGGCGTCTCTTCACGCAGAACGACTGTCACTAGCTGGGTGATGAGTACAGCCGGGTGTCAGGTGCTCTGGGGCACGGAATCCCCTCCTTAGAGGACCTGGGTCAGCTCAGATCTGCGGCCTTACCTCCATGTTCTGAATCAGGGTTGAGCCTCGGCCCCACACCATGCAGCCGGTGCTGAGGCCGTGACCTTGTGTTTCTGAGGTCCTGCGGGTGTGCCGGGTCCCCGGGGCTCCAGCTCCCGTGCTGGGTGTGAGATGTCAGCGTCCCAGGGGCCAAGAGAAGGACACAGACCCTGAGCCCAGAATCACAGGAGGAGCCTGATGTTGGAGACTCAAGTCCAGGCCCTGGCCTGCGGCCTGGAAAACCAGTGGGTCCCGGTCGGTGCCCAGGACTCTGCCCTGGATGGGGGACACGCAGCAGGGGACTGGAGGCAGCAAGGCCAGAGCAGGAGGGGGCTCCCCTCTGCGCCCAGTGTCCTGGGGAGCTCATCTCCGCCACCCATGTCACTAGAGCCACCTCGTCAGAAAGGACAGAGAGAAACTTGTGATCTTGAAGGCAAGAATGTCCCTTCATTAACTGCATCACAGCCGAGAGTTATGAACACGGGATTAGAGCCCACGGCCCCGGAAGCCCCCGCCCCGTGCGTGCGAAGGGCTGTTGCATTTGGTCAAGTTATTTCACTTTGGACTAATTCCCTCATCTCTGGAACGAGAACAGTGACTGCATTCGCCTCTAACAGTTTTCTCTCAGAAATAATTAAAGTTTTTTTTTTTTTTAAATGAAGGGAAAACAGCAACTTGACAGCAAACCCCACCTGTGCTTTGTTTTTGCGACCCTCTTCCCCTGGGGTTGTTTCCTTCGGTGTTTGACCGTCCATGAAGCCCGCAGGCTTCTGTAGAGAGTCAAATGTGAAGGTGCATATGGGATTTTCAAACTGAACCTTAAAATCTCAGTCAGGAACCATTTTCATATTACAGAGCGTGATTCAATAACACCCTGTGCAAGAGGGGACTGAACACACTTGTGGGAAAAAGCAGGTCTGAATAATGATGATTCGGGTCCGTTTCCCCTGAGAACTGAATCATGAAGAGGAGACGGCGCGTCCTTGCGGGGAGTCCCCCCCACTTCCATGCAGCTGGGGGGGCACATCTGGGGGCTCCCTGGCCTTGAAGCCCCCATGCTGATGCCCTGACTGAGGCCCGGGGTGGGGGACGCAGAGCAGGAAACATTTATTTCACAAGGACGGATGACAGGATGTTCTCTGCCTTGAAGTTACATGGCCCTTGAGGTTTTCTGGGTGGGTGTTGTGATGATCAGAAAAAAGCTTCATCTTCCCTGTGGGGCTAATCTGGGCCTGGAAGGGGAAGCCAGATGAGGGGCGATTCTACCTGGGAGGGCGGTGGGAAGCACAGGTGTTCAAAGCAGACTTGAGTTTGGTTCCTCCCTGCAGCAGTTCTGAAATGAAGGACACTTCCCCACAGATAATAAGGTAGTAAAATAATACTTCTGTTGGCTGTTTTCCTGCCATCACATATCACACACAGGAGCCCAGAGACACTGTCCTACCCCCCAGGGCTGAGCCTCCTGCCCCAGCCCCGCCCTCCCCCTCACTTCCTGAGCTGGGCCTGAGGGTTTTTGTGCTCTGGGCTGCTGCTCCTGCAGGGCTGTGGCAAGCTGCTGGCGCAGAGATACAGGGCCGTGTCCCCCGGCTCCAAGAGGCTCATGTTCAGCTGAGAGCGATGATCGTTTTTCGACTGCACAACTTTGAATCGGTCAGGGAGACTTCCTTTGTCTCGCTCGTTCCCATTGTAATACTGAACCAAGAACTTGGGACCATGGCCCTGGGCCTCCCGGTACCAGTACATAGACAGGTGTCCATTCTCATAGGAACATTTCAATGTCACGTTCTGTCCGCTCGCTGTGACCAGATACTTGGGGTTCTGCGTGACTTCAGAGTCCACTGGGCCTGTGGGAGGAGACACACAGGAGCTGAGGAAGACCCAGGGGAAGACTCTGCTCAGCCATCACCAGGGCAGGCTGGTCACCAGGCAGCTGAGCCCCTCCAGGGCTCCCAGGGTGCCAGGACCTACCTGCTGCCAGGAGACAAAGGGCCACACAGCAGAGGATCCTGGAGCCTATGGTGGGTCAGGCCTTGGCAGCTCCTGGCTTGGGGGGGAGGGTCTGAGTTAGTCACCTAGTGGGCCCTGATTGGATACTTGCCGATGATGTCACTGCTGTGATGTCACTGTCCTGTTGTTCCTCTCCCTGCAGGACTCCCCTGGCATGTTGCACATTTAACAGGACCCAAGGCTGGTCACTCTCTGTCCATGCCCTGTCTGCACAGCCCACACGTGGTTGGTTGTGGGCTCAGCCCTCCCCATATGCCCACAAGCACTTGTTCTCCCCTGTCTGCCTCTCTTGACACTGTTACCATCATCATTGTTCTTTACCACTCCTTCCCTTGCAGTTGAAGGGACAGAGGAGGGGAAGGCCACGTCCACTTCCCTGGGCAGGAGAGTCTCTGTGACTGCAAGTGTCCCGGGACCTCCCAGTGCCTCAGCCCCCTCCCTGACAAGGCACTTGGCCAAGACTCCCCTTCAGCTGGGCCCTCCTGGGCACTGACCCCTCCTCCAGAGCACCTGCACATCTGTGGGCCCACAGCGCCTCCCAGTGGCCACAGGTGCTCAGGCCCATGGATTCCCCTGGTGTGTGGGAATCAGAGTGGACACTCCTCCACCTGCCCAGTGCCCAGACTCCATTCACTTCTCTCTCAGCCTGGCCGCTTTGGTTGAGATTTAAGTCCACCCGTATGTGTGCACTGATTGTAAGAACAATGATTTGATCAAGAAGGGGATGATTATTCCACCATTAGCACACGATGATGGAAAACACCAGGCGCCGAACAAAGGCCATGAAATTGAGTATTTCCCAACACAGCTCCTCCTGGCCCCGGGACCTAAGGATCCACTAGTAAGTACTGACTTTTAGAGCATTTATAAAAAGGATTTATGTATTTTACACAAAATTTCTAATCTTTTAAACTCTTAAAACTTGTCAGTGATAATGAACACTCCCAGCCAGGACTGAAGTCCTTCATCTAAATTCCTTGATCTATAGACATCCTCTCTTGTCTCCCTTGTTACCCCGCCACCAACTTTACCAGAAATCTCAACTCTCAGAATTGCATTTATAGACGTTGTATTTACTCAGGATACAGAAAGTGCCACTTGTTAAATTGTGCATTTCCACACCAGGGACAGAGGCTTGTACAAACTGATGTCCCCATTGTGGATGTCTCCTTCCAGTTTACTTTTGGAGCCGAGGGAGTAATAAATCAGCCTGAGCCCGAGTCCCGGGTCCTGGCAATACCAGGACATGTTGTTATAGCCCATGTCTTGGACACAACTCAGTTTGCACCTCTGTCCTGTCCTCAGGATCTGGAATCTGGGGTCCTGAGAGACCCCATCCTTCACCACACCTGTGCACAAGGAGATGAAGCTGATGGAGCCGCAGACACAACGGAGAGGCTGAGCGCTGAGGCCTTGACTGTGTCCCCCAGGACAGGGTCCCCGCCCAGGTCTCACCTGCCTGCAGGAGACCCCAGACCCCCAGCACAGGAGAGGGACGCTCATAGGAGGGACAGGAGACTGAGGGTGCTGGGGCTGTGGGTGCTACTGGGAGAGAAGCGGGGCTGTGAGGGATTGTTGTGAGATGTCACAGCCCTCCTGGCCCAGGGCCAAACTGTGACAGGGCCACGCCCCTCCCCGGGCTCCAATGACAAGTGTCCAGGGCAGCTCCGAGTGGAGAGTGTGTTACTCTAAGTGAACTAGTCTTATACTTTGCTCTGTCTGCTTGTAAATCAGTGTGAAACTTTATATTATTTCTTCCTGTGATATTATTTTTCATGACACACTGGTCTCGTCATCTAATTATTTCTATAGTTTTCAAACTTTAAAAATGTTTGTAGCACCTTGATGTGCGCGATGGCTGGAGGGTCCAAATCATCCAAGAGTTTTTCTGCATCTTAGTGACCAGTCCTACTTCTCTCCTCCATCCACAGCAGCACCGCTGCTGTCTGGATCATCAGCATTTCAGACTCACTTTGCTGTTTCTTCTAAGTCATTGTATGGACTCTGCCGGGGACGCTGCAGAGTGTCCTGCACGCGTGGGGAGGGGCAGCAGCAGCAGACACACCTCACGTGTCACTGCCCTCCTTGGGGAGTCAGTGGCTGCTCAGGGGACCTCTTGCCCAGGAGCTGCTGCACCTCCCCTGCAGTGACCCTTAGGGCTAATGGCTTTCGCCACGGTCCCTAGGTCCGGCTGGGCAAGGAACCAGCACCCAGGGGAGAACAGCAAAACTCCCTGAAGCAGGGGGAGAACAGCAAACCCCCGAAGACATAGATAAGACGGAAGCTTGTTGAAAGATAATGACCCCAAGGAGCCACTACAGGAATGCTGACCACACGGAACCTTATCTCACCTTCTCAAGGCCCACAAACTTTATTCTAATACAACAGTCTCTCTAAAATCTTTTCTCTTTGTAAAATCTTTTCTCTTTCTCTGTCTAAAAAGGTCATTGGTTGCTGATTAAAAAGAACATACGAAATCTAATAACTAGGCTAATCCAAATGAAACGTTACTAAACACTGTGTATTAATAGAACTGTTAGCTTAATAATTTCTCTGTTGTATGCTTAGCCTTGTTAGCATTAATCTTAATGATAAAAAAATTACATTGTGAAAAGTAAAACTCACCCGTGCTAATTAATAGTAATTTAGTGGTAGTGAGTAGTTTAAATAAAAAGTAATCACATAAAACAAAAGAAAAAAATGAATAGCCTAACTACTTAGGATTGCGCCTGAGTCCAGATGTAGATCACTGCCCTGTCAATGATAAGCTAAACCTATAAGCAAGCTGATTTCTTCACTGATGTTCGCCATTCCTATGCTTTCAGAAAACATATATATACTGGTCACCAACTCAAAGAAAATGACACTCAGATTTTCACTCTCTTGAAGTGTGTCTGTTTGTCATTTCTTTCGCTGACTCCCTGACCACCCTGCACGCTTCTCTCAACCCTGAGACGGCCTCATCGTTCACTGCTGTGCTGGTCCGCGGCAGGAACACAGGTGAGTGTGGGGTTCAGGGGAGGGGCACAATCCAGGGCGAATGGAAAATGTTCTCTTTTCTTTGGATGATCACATTTCACTGGGCTCTCCTTGTGCAGAATGATTGTCACTAGTGAGTGATGAGTATAACCGGGGTAACAGGTGCTCAGGGTCACGGAACGCCCTCCTTACAAGCCGAAGTGAGCCCAGATCTGTGGCCTTGACCTTCATGTTCTGAATCAGGTTTGAGCCTCAGGCCCTGAGTTTCAGATGTGCCTTCCCCTCAACTGTCCCTTCAACTGCAAGGGAAGGAAAGGTAAAGAGATGACCTTGCATTTCTCATCTGGGTTTCCAAAGTGGTGCCAGGTCCCTGGGGCATCAGCTCCTGTCCTGGGTCTGGGAGAGTCAACAAACCCGGGGTACAAGGAGCCGTGCAGCCAGAGTCAGAGGAGCAGCCTGTTGCGGACACTGCTCACACATCCACAAATAAGCCAAATAATACTGATGGATGATGTGGTGATGAGCAGTAAAATCCAGGCCTCTGCACGACTAATCTCTGCACGACTAATCTAGGCCTGGAAGGGGAAGCCAGATGAGGGGTGATTCTACCTGACTGAGGCCCGGGGTGGGGGACGCATAGCAGGAAACATTTATTTCACAAGGAAGGATCACAGGATGTTCTTTGCCTTGAAGTTACATGGCCCTTGAGGTTTTCTGGGTGGGTGTTGTGATGATCAGAAAAAAGCTTCATCTTCCCAGTGTGGCTAATCTGGGCTGGAAAGGGAAGCCAGATGAGGGGGATTCTACCTGGGGGGGGCGGTGGGAAGCACAGGTGTTCAAAGCAGACTTGAGTTTGGTTCCTCCCCGCAGCATCTCTGAAATCAAACCAGGGAAGGACATTTCCCACAGATAATAAGGTAGTAAAATAATACTTCTGTTGGTGGTTTTCCACCTCATCTCATATCACACACAGGAGCCCAGAGACACTGTCCGACCCCCAGGGCTGAGCCTCCTGCCCCAGCCCCGCCTCCCCCTCACTTCCTGAGCTGGGCTGGAGGGTTTTTGTGCTCTGGGCTGCTGCTCTTGTAGGCTGTGCCAAGCTGCTGGCGCAGAGATACAGGGCCGTGTCCCCAGCTCCACGGAGCTCATGTTCAGCTCAGAGCGATAATCGTTTTTCGACTGCACAACTTTGAATCGGTCGGGGAGATTTTCTTTTTCTTGCTCTTTCTCATCATAATACCGAACCAGGAACGCTGGACCCTGGCCGGGCCTGCTTGTACCAGTACACATACTGGTGTTCTTTCTCATAGGAACATGTGAGGTTCGCGTTCTGTCCGCTCACTGTGACCAGATACTTGGGGTTCTGCGTGACTTCAGAGTCCACTGGGCCTGTGAGAGGAGACACACAGGAGCTGAGGCAGAGCCAGGGATGTGTCTGCTCAGCCATTACCAGGGCAGGCTGGTCACCAGGCAGCTGAGCCTGTTCCTGGGCTCTCCAGGCTGTCAGGACCCTCCTGCTCCCAGGAGACAAAAGGCCACACAGCAGGAGGAGCCTGGAGCCCATGGCGGCCTCAAGCCCTGGCAGCTCGTGGCTCAGGGGGTCTGAGTTAGTCACCTCCCGAGGACTGATGGGCACTTGCTGCTGATGTCACTGCTCTGTGATGTCACTGCCCTGCAGTTCCTCTCCCAAAGGACTCCCCAGGCCTGTTGCACCTTATAACAGGACGCAAGGCTAGTCACTCTCTGTCATGCCCTGTCTGCACAGCCCGCACATGGGTGAGTGTGGGCTCAGCCCTCCCCCTAGGCCCACAAGTACTTGTTCTCCCCTGTCTGCCTCTCTTGACACTGTTACCATCATCATCATCTCTTTCCCACTCCTTCCCTTGCAGTTGAAGGGACAGAGGAGGCGAAGACCACGTCCCCTCCCTGGACAGGGGAGTCTCTGTGACTGCACGTGTCCAGGGACCTCCCAATGACTCAGCCCCTCCTGACAAGGCATGTGGCCAAGACTCCCATTCAGATGGGCCCTCCTGGGCACTGAACCAGACTCCAGAGCACCTGCTCATCTGTGGGCCCACAGCGCCTCCAGTGGCCACAGGTCTCAGGCCCATGGATTCCCCTGGTGTGTGGGAATCAGAGTGGACACTCCTCCACCTGCCCAGTGCCGGGCTCTCCATTTACTGTTCTTCCAGTCTGGCTGCCTTAAGCTGAGTTTTAATTCCACTCATATATGTCAACTGATTGTAGAACAATGATTTGATGAAGGAGGGGATGATTTTTCCACCATTAGCACACGATGATGGAAAACACCAGGCTCCATACACAGGCCCCGAATGTGAAATATTTCCAAACACAGCTCCTCCTGGCCCCGGGACCTAAGGATCCACTAGTAAGTATTGATTTTTAGAGCATTTATAAAAAGGATATACGTCATTTTACATAAAATTTCTAATCTTTTAATCTCTTAAAACTTGTCAGTGGATAATGAACACTTCCAGCCAAGCTGACGTCCTTCGTCTAAACTCCTTAATCTATAGACATCCTCTCTTCATCTCCCTTGTTACCCCGCGCACCAAACTTTACCAGAAATCTCAACTCTCAGAATGGCACTTATAGACACTGTATTTACTCAGGATACAGAAAGTGCCACTTGTTAAATTGTGCATTTCCACACCAGGGACAGAGGCTTGTACCAACTGATGCTGCCCCACCAAGGGAATATCTATAAGAACTCGGACACACTCTCTCTGCCCCGGGCCTCACTCACCTCACACAACGGGAGCTCAGGCTGGGAGGCCAGGACCTGAGTGTGAAAACCCACGCAGAGTCCTGCATCAGAGAATTGCTCGTGGTCATTGATCAAAGAGCAGGGGGGCAAAAGTCATAGTTTACTGTTTATTCCTGACTCTGTTAGCGTAAAATCTCTCTCCATCTGAGCCCGGCCTCTCATGTCAGTAGGCGAGCACATTGCGTGGGTACTGACTTAACCCGCAGGCAGAAACATGGTCAGGGGGACCGGCCTGGGCTGGGAGCCGCGGGCCAGAGCGCATGTGGACCCGGGCACAGCAGGCTGGACCTCGGCCTCCCTGGACTCGCAATGTGGGCGGAGAGTCTCAGAAGCGCTCAGTGGTGACTGTGATAAGAGGACGCAGGACAGTCGCGGGATTGTCCTCCATCCTGTAGGTGTGTTTGGGTTTTCCCTTTCCTGGCTGGGGCAGGGCCTCTATAAGGGGCAGGGTCACCGGCTCCCCAACAGGCAGCTGGTCCTCAGCCTGAATCTCACTTTGATGAACTCAACAGATCACGGAGGTCATGAGCTCCTGTCCACGGGGGCATTTCTCTTGTGAGGCAGTCCAAGGGGGCCAGAGCCTTCCGTCGTCTGTAAGAACTGGTCCAGGAGCCTGTCTGAGACGAGATAATGTCCTCCCGACTCCACTGGCCTCACTCTGACCTGGGGTCCTGTAGTCCAGGCTCTTTCAGCATCACAGAAGCACAGGAAGGAGACAGAGCCCCTGCTTTGGAGGGAGTCTGATCCACAGTCGGGAGAGAAAATCCTTAGTCAGGACCTGGACATCTAGATCTGAGCCAGCGCAGTTGGGCGGTCGGTCACCTGGGACAGGTGTATAGGGAATAAACCAACTTCACCTCAATAAGCATAATGGGGGGATGAAAGTGGTGAAGGCCGAGTCAAGTTGGAAAGACTGCGCGAGCAGGTGTCGGCCCTCAAACAATCCACGCTGGGCTCTCAGGTGATGTGCACAGGTAGGAGCGAAACTGCATCTGCCAGACACCATTTCCTTTACATTCTGGGCTAGAGCTTGTCAAGGAGGAACTTGTGTAAACTTCGTGTTGTAGAGAGTCTCAGCAACTGCCCTTGCAACATTAAAAGTGCATAAAGGTGAAAAATAATCAGATAAGCTGTAAACTTTCAACTCAGCATCACGGTCACCTGCTCCATCCAGGGACTCAGCCACTTTGGGCACAGGCACCCATGAGATCTTAGAAGAAGGGGCTGAGCTCCACAGGGCAGGGAGGGAGAGCATGTGGAGCAAAGGTGGGGCTGCGCTGCCCAGAGCTAATTTGAGTCTCTTCAGGAAGGAAGGGTCCATGTCCAGGCAGGGAAACAGACTCAGTCTCTGAGATCAGAAGGGGTGACAGGTGAGACCAGGGGGCTGGGGCAGACAGGCCAGGTGAGCTGTGCAAGATAAATCATAGCACAGGGGCATGTGACACAGAGGCAGCAGAGGTGTGACTCACTCGCCCGGGCTCATACCGACTGCCGGCACCCCACTACTGTTGGGTCTCCTGAGCTCAGAGTTGCAAAGGGCACTTCTGAGTTCCAGGGGTCAAGGTCCCGCCTTCTTGTGTAGAGAGGAGGTGAGCCTGCAGCGCTGTGCATAGCTGGTGGCACAGAAGTACACAGATGTCTGGGAGCGGGTGGCAGGCTCTAGTGTGAGCATGTAGTCAGCTGTGTCTGGTCTGGAGACCTGGTACCCACTATGGATGTCTCCTTCCAGTTTACTTTTGGAGCCGAGGGAGTAATAAATCAGCATGAGCCCGAGTCCCGGGTCCTGGCGATACCAGTACATGTTGTCATAGTCCTTATCCTGGACACAACTCAGGTTGCACCTCTGTCCTGCCCTCAGGATCTGAATCTGGGGTCCTGAGAGACCCCAGCCTTCACCACACCTGTGCACAAGGAGATGAAGCTGATGGAGCTGCAAAGACGACAGAGAGGCTGAGCACTGAGGCCTTGACCATGTACCCTAGGACAGGGGCCCCGCCCAGGACTCACCTGCCTGGCAGCAGACCCCAGACCCCCAGCACAGGAGGGGGACACTGATGGCAGGGACAGGAGTCTGAGGATGCTGGGGCTTTGGGTGCTGGTTAGAGTGAACCCGGGCTGTGAGGGAGTGTTGTGAGATGTCACAGCCCTCCTGGCCCAGGGCCAACCTGTGACAGGGCCACGCCCCTCCCGGGCTCCAATGACAAGTGTCCAGGGCAGCTCCGAGTGGAGAGTGTGTTACTCTAAGTGAACTAGTCTTATACTTTGCTCTGTCTGCTTGTAAATCAGTGTGAAACTTTATATTATTTCTTCCTGTGATATTATTTTTCACCACACACATCTCTTCATCTAATTATTTCTATAGTTTTGAAACTTTAAAGAATATATGTAGCACCTTGATGTGCGCGATGGCTGGAGGGTCCAAATCATCCAAGAGTTTTTCTGCATCTTAGTGACCAGTCCTACTTCTCTCCTTCCATCCACGGCGCCGCTGCCGTCTGGATCATCAACATTTCAGACTCACTTTGCTGTTTCCTCTAAGTCACTGTATGGACTCTGGCCGGGGCCACTGGAGAGTGTCCTTCCCCCGAGCAATGCCCCGAGTTGAGACAAAGCAGACACACCTCACTTGTCGCTGCCCTCCTTGGGGAGTCAGTGGCTGCTCAGGGGACCTCCTGCCCAGGAGCACAGGTGAGTGTGGGGTTTCAGGGAGGGGCCCATCCAGGGAGACTGGAAAATGTTCTCTTCTTATCGGGTGTTCATATGTCACGGGGCTCTCCTTGTGCAGAACGATTGTCACTAGTGAGTGATGAGTATAGCCGGGTCACGGGTGCTCAGGGGCACGGAACCCCATCCTTAGAGGGCTGGAGTCAGCCCAGGTCTGTGGCCCTAACCTTCATGTTCTGAATCAGGTTTGATCCTCAGGCCCACAGATCATGCAGCTGGTCCTGAGGCCGTGACCTTGTGTTTCTCATCTGGGGTTCCTAAGGGGGTGGGGCATCAGCTCCTGTCCTGGGTCTGGGGGAGTCAGCAAACCCGGGCTACAAGGAGCCGTGCAGCCAGAGTGAGAGGAGCAGCCTGTTGAGGACACTGCTCACATCTACAAATAAGCCAAATAACACTGATGGATTGATACGGTGATGAGCAGTAAAATGATTGATCTACCCTGTGTAGCTAATCTGGGCCTGGAAGGGGAAGCCAGATGAGGGGCGATTCTACCTGAGGGTGGGTGTGGGGGGTGCACAGGTGTTCAAAGCAGACTTGAGTTTGTAACCTCCCTGCAGCAGTTCTGAAATCTAACAAGGGAAGGACACCTCCCACAGGTAATAAGTAGTAAAATAAACTATGGTGGCTGTTTTCAAGTCATCATGTATCCCACACAGGAGCCCAGACACACTGTCTTGCACCTAGGGCTGGGCTCCTGCCCCGCCCCGCCCTCCCCCCACTTCCTGAGCTGGGCTGGTGGGTTTTTGTGCTCTGGGCTGTTGCTCCTGCAGGGCTGTGCCAAGCTGCTGGCGCAGAGATACAGGGCCGAGTCCCCGGCTCCACGAGGCTCATATTCAGCTCAGAGCGACGACGGACTTGTAACTGCCCAACTTTGAATCGGTCAGGGAGACTTCCTTTTTCTTGCTGTTTCCCATTGTAATACTGAACCAGGAAATCGGGGCCCTGGCCTGGGGCCTGCTTGTACCAGTACACAGACTGGTGTTTTGTCTCATAGGAACATCTCAGGGTCACGTTCTGTCCTCTGCTGTGACCAGATACTTGGGGTTCTGCGTGACTTCAGAGGCCACTGGGCCTGTGGGAGGAGACACACAGGAGCTGAGGCAGAGCCAGGGGAAGCCTCTGCTCAGCCATCACCAGGGCAGGCTGGTCACCAGGCAGCTGAGGTTCTGCCGAGCTCCCCAGGGTGCCAGGACCCACCTGCTCCCAGGAGACAAAGGGCCACACAGCAGAGGAGCCTGGAGCCCATGGCGCCTCAGGCCCTGGTAGCTCCTGGCTCAGGGGAGACTGAGTTAGTCACCTCCTGGGCCTGATTGGGCACTTGTCGCTGATGTCACTGCTGTGATGTCACTGCCCTGCTGTTCCTCTCCCTGCAGGACTCCCTGGCCTGTTGCGCCTTTATCAGGGCCCAAGGCTGGTCACTCTTTGTCCTTTCCTGTCTGCACAGCCTCACGTGGTTGTGTGTGGGCTCAGCCCCTCTCCATAGGCCCACAAACTTCTGATCTCCACTGCCCGTCTCTCCTCACACCAGCCCATGATCCCCCAACTCCTTCACCCTCTGTTTCCTTTGCAGGTGCTGGAGCTGCCCCACTGGTGGCTACTGAAGTTCAAGGCCCATGTTCATTTCCATGGGCAGAGGAGACTTATCATTCCAGGTCCTTGTCCTCCCAGTGTTCGATCCACCTGCCTGGCTAGGTATTTAGTTGAGACTTCCCTTCAGCTGGGCCCTCCTGGGCTCTGTCCCCCTCTGGTGCATCCCGACATCTGTGGGCCCACAGCGCCTCTTAGTGGCCACCGGCCCATGAGCTCATAGATTCATGTTTTCTGTCTAATTAGAACAGACTTTTATTCTGAACCACTCTGAATTTTACTCTGACATGTGATCCCAACGTTCCCATCTACAGAAATGAGCATTTTACATTCCCCTCCTGGCCGATGCAGGGTCCCCTTCTATGCAAAAATAGCCCGGGACCAAAGAGTGTATGAACCAGACTTGGATTAAGGCAAAAAAATATGTACCATGACAATTAGTACAGTCAGTGGATGAGAAAAGACAGAAGAATTCAGCTTGTAGATTTTGAGGTCTATGGTGCCTGTGGATTCTACATGGAAACACTATTTTCCGTTGCCACCAGGGCTGTGACTCACTCACCCGGGTTCACAGCTTCGGCGGGGACCCCAGGGCTTCAGAACTCACTGTGCTGACAGTGTACAAGTGCTCTGATGAGCCCCGGGGTGAGAGCCCCGCCTTCTTGTGCAGAGAGGAGGTGAGCCTGCAGCGCTGTGCATAGCTGGTGGCACAGAAGTACACAGCTGTCTGGGAGGTGGTGGCAGACTCCAGCGTGAGCAGGAACTTGGCTTTGTCTGGTCTAGAGACCTTGTACCCACCAGGGATGTCTCCTTCAGCGCTGAGATTAGTATTCGCTGAGTAATGGAGAAGCCTTAGCCCGAGTTCCGGGTCCTGGCGATACCAGTACATGTAGTTATAGTCCATATCCTGGGCACAGCTCAGCTGCCCACGCTGTTTTGTCCTCAGGATCTGGTATCTCGGGCTCTGAGAGACCCCAGCCTTCACCACACCTGTGCACAAGGAGATGAAGCTGATGGAGCTGCAGACACAAAGGAGAGGCTGAGTATTGAGGCTTTGACCGTGTTGCCCAGGACTCACCTGCCTGCAGGAGACCCCAGACCCCCCAGCACAGGAGGGCGACGCTCATGGCAGGGCCAGGAGACTGAGGGTGCTGGGGCTGTGGGTGCCGAGAAGGGAGTGTGGCTGTGAGGGAGTGTTGTGAGATGTCACAGGCCTCCTGGCCCAGGGCCAACCTGTGACAGGGCCACGCCCCTCCCCGGGCTTTAACGCAAAATATCCAGTGAGTGGGAAGATGCATCTTCCTGGGTTGACACAAGTCATACAGTTTCTGCACCTCTGTGTCAGTCAGTGTGTTGCTTTTCCTACGTGTCATTCCGGAGAGAGTGTTCACATCACCCTGGTTTATTCCTCTCAATATTTCTTTTTTTTTTTTTTTAAGTTTTACATATTTATGCATACAAGAACTGGGTACAGGCCAGAGATGCGGGGGTGGAGGGGTGGAAAGATTCACCAGAGAGAGAGTGGGAGCAGAACAGGCAGACTGACCAAAACACACTGCTGAGGGGAGCAGCGGGGAGATAGGAGAGGTCTGCTGTGCCATATGGACTGCTCCCTGGCTGGCCGGGGTCAAGCTTGCACTGCAGAGCCCGCGGACAGCTTCACAGTGCTGCACGCAACCTGCTGCACCACCAGGGAAGCCCTCTCAAACATTTCTATCCTTAGAGAGTCCCAGGGATTTTCATGACGTCTGTGTCCCAGATGGTCCCTAGAGAGACTCATCCTGTCACTGACCTTCCCCTGGGAGGGATTCCCCTGCTGTCTGACCCCACAGCTCAGGGCGGGGCCATTAGCATTTCATGACAACACCCTTTTCTCTGTTTCTTGTCAAGTCCCTGACATGGACACTGGCCAGGGCAGCTGGAGACTGTCCTGCCCCGGAGCCCAGACGCGTGTGTGAGGGGCAGTGGCAACAGACACACCTCATGCGTCGCTGCTCTTCCTTGGGGAGACAGTGGGTGCTCAGAGCTCACAGGACCCCAGGAGCACAGCTGGGGAGGGTGACTCCAGGGTGAAGGGAAATGTTCTCTTTTCCTTGGGTCATACCATGCCACGGGGATGTCTCTTCATGGAGAACAACTGGCACTGAGTGATGCAAAAGTGGTGCTTACAGTGTTCTGGGCCACAGATCCCCTCCGTCGAGGGCCTGCGCCAGCCCAGATCTGTGGCTGTGCCCTTCATGTTGTGAATCAGGTTTGAGCCGGGGGCCCACAGATCATGAAGCCAGTCCTGTGTCCTGACCTGACCTTGTGCTTCTCATCTGAGGGCCCTGAGGGGGTGCCGGGTTCCTGGGGCTCAGCTCCTGTCCTGGGTCTGGGGAGTCAACAAACCTGGCCTGGAAGGAGCTGTGAAGCCAGAGACACAGGCGCAGACTGTTCAGGACATTCCCGCAGGTGCATAAATAATCCAAGTCTTAATGAGTGATTCTGTGTCTTTCCCCAGGGTGAGCCTCCTGCTGCAGCCCCCGCCCTCGCCCTCACTCCTGAGCTGGGCAGGAGGGTGTTTGTGCTCTGGGCTGCTGACCTGCGGGGCTTGCCAAGCTGCTGGCGCTGAGATAAAGGCCCTGGTCCCCAGCTCCACGGGCCTCATGTTCAGCTCAGAGTGATGGTCTTTGAACTGTTCACCTTCGAACTGTTTAGGGAGACTTCGTCTTTTTTTGCTCTTTCCACCATAACACTGAAACTGGAACTAAGGGCTCTGGCCCGGGGCCTGCTTGTACCAGTACACAGACAGGTGTCCAGTCTCACAGGAACATGTGAGGTTCGCGTTCTGTCCTCTCACTGTTTCCAGATACTTGGGGTTTTGCGTGACTTCAGAGTCCACTGGGCCTGTGGGAGGAGACACACAGGAGCTGAGGCAGAGCCAGGGGAAGCCTCTGCTCAGCCATCACCAGGGCAGGCTGGCCACCAGGCAGCTGAGGTTCTGCCGAGCTCCCCAGGGTGCCAGGACCCACCTGCTCCCAGGAGACAAAGGGCCACACAGCAGAGGAGCCTGGAGCCCATGGAGGCCTCAGGCCCTGTCAGTTCCTGGCTCAGAGGGGTCTGAGTTAGTCACCTCCTGGGCCCTGACTGGGCACTTGCCGCTGATGTCACTGCTGTTATGTCACTGCCCTGCTGTTCTTCTCCCTGCAGGACTCCCCTGGCCTGCTGTGCCTTTAACAGGACCAAAGGCTGGACACTCTCTGTCCATTCCCAGTCTGCGCAACCTCACGTCGGTGGGTGTGGGCTCAGCCCCTCCCCATATGCCCACAAACACCCCTTCTGCTCTGTCTGTCCTGCATGTTGCTAGTTCCAACCCTTGGCCCCCAACTCCTCCACCTCCACTTCCTGTGCAGGTGCAGGGAGCTGCCTCCTTGGTGCAGGCTGAAGGCAAGGCCCACATTTGCATCCCTGGGCAGGGAATTGTCTCTGGCTCCAGGTGTTCTATGAACTTCTAGCAACTCAGACCCCTCCCTGACAAGGATTCCCCTTCAGCTGAGCCCTCCTCAGCACTGTCTCCCCCTCTGGTGTAACCCACATCTATGGTCCCACAGTGCCTCCCAGTGGCCACAGGTGCTCAAGCTCATGGATTCCCCTCCTGTGAGGGAATCAGAGTAGACATTCCTCCACCAACCAGATGCCCAGCTCTGCATTTACTGCTCTCTCAGCCTGGCTGCCTAAAGGCTGATCTTTAACTCCACCCTTAGATTGTGTGAACTTATTGTATGAACCAGCATTTTGGTTAAGAAGGGAGTGATTATTACACCACTGCAATTAGGATGTGATGGTGGAAAACACCGTGCAGAGATGCAGGCCATGAAAACCATGTTTCCAAACGCAGCTGCTCCTGATCACAGATGAGATGAACGACTGTCCCTGAGGGCGATTTTGCTGCTAGTGTCCAAAACCAAGAATTGAGTCAAGGATGTGTCTGAGACGAGGTCTCATCCTGCTGTCTCCACTGGCCCCTCGTTCTAACCAGAGCTCCTGGTGTCCAGGCTACTCCAGCATCACAGAAGCTCATGAAGAGACAGAGCCCCCAGTGCCTATGGGGGACTCTGTGTGTCCCCTTGATGAGAAATTTCCTAGTTAGGGTCTGGAAATATGATCCAAGTATCATGGTTAGGGGACAATCACGCTGGCCTGGTGTACAGGGGATACACCAACTTTACCTACTAAACATTATTTGAGGGGAAGAAAGTGTTGAGGGTCAAGTCAAGGGTGACACCGTGTGAGCAGATGTCAGGCCTTAGGATCCACGCTGGGCTAGTAGGTGTTGCGCTACCAGGTGGAGGGAATCGGCATTTCCCAGATACCATTTCCGTTACATCCTGGTCTAGAGTGTGTCAAGGAGGGACTTGTGCAAACTTCATTATGTGGAGTCACAGCATTTGCCTTATAAGATTAACATTGAGTGAAGATGAAAAATAAGCAGACAAGAAGATGGGAAATTTCACCATTCTACCATTAAGTCCACAGGCTCCACGAGAGCCGAACACAAGATATTGAGCTCCTCAGTGAGGAGGGAGAGCACCTGGGGAGCAGGTGTGGGGCTGCGCTGCCCAGAGCAGGAGTGAGCCTCTTCTGGAAGGAAGAGTCCATGTCCAGGCCGGGGAAACAGACCCAGACTCTGAGATAAGAAGCGGTGATGGGTGAGGACAGGGGGCTGGAGCAGAGAGGCCAGGTGAGCTGTGCAAGCTTAATCAGTAGCCACGGGGGCATCTGCCCCCAGGGCAGCTGAGGGGTGACTCACTCACCCAGGTTCGCACCGACTGCAGGGACCCCTATTTTAGGATTCCCTGAGCTCAGAGTCTGCAAAGGCTCTGCTGTGTCCCGGAGTGCAGGGCCCCCGCCTTCTTGTGCAGAGAGGAGGTGAGCCTGCAGCACTGTGCATAGCTGGTGGCACAGAAGTACACAGCTGTCCGGGAGGTGTTGGCAGGCTCCAGCATGAGCAGGAATTTGTTACTATTTTCTCTGTAGACTTTGTACCCCTCAGTGATGTCTCCCTCATATAAGGTACCAGAAGAAGAGGTATAACAGATCAGTCTCAGTCCTAGTCCCGGGTCCTGGCGATACCAGTACATGTAGTCATGGTTCATATCCTGTACACAACTCAGGTTGCACCTCTGTTCTGTCCTCAGGATCTGGAATCTGGGGTCCTGAGAGATCCTAGCATTCACCACACCTGTGCACAAGGAGATGAAGCTGATGGAGCTGCAGACATAACGGAGCGACTGAGCACTGAGGCCTTGACAGTGTCCCCCAGGACAGGGGCCCTGCCCAGGACTCACCTGCCTGCAAGAGACCCCAGACCCCCCAGCACAGGAGGGGGACACTCATGGCAGAGATCAGAGACTGCTGGTCCTGGGGCTGTGGGTGCTGATGAGAGGGGAGCAGGGCTGTGAGGGAGTGTTGTGAGATGTAACAGCCCTCCTGGCCCAGGGCCAACCTGTAACAGGGCCACGCCCCTCCCTGGGCTCCAATGCAAAATGTCCAGAGAGCAGCTCAGAGTGGGAGGAGCAGCATCTGAATCCAGGGCTCCCAAGGGGTCTGAACTCTCCGTCAGTCAGTTGATAGCTGCATGTAGATTTCCTTCCTATGCTGTAACTCTTCACAGTACACTGACATTCTCATCTAGATTCTCTGTAGTTTCTCTTGTAGGAAAATCCTGATGTGATCCTGATGGTTTTTATGACTCCTGTGCCCCAGCTGCTGCCAATATTGTGTTTGAAATTTAAGTCTGGCCCATCCTTCCTGTCCTTCCACCCCAGAGTCCCCTACTATCTGGTCCAAGCCCCAGGGCAGGAGCTCCAGCAGTTCACACTCATTGTGCTGTTTCCTGTAAGTCACTGACCCGGGACACTGGCCTGGGCTCACATGATTCCTGTTTCTAATCTAAGTCTCTCCTGACGTTCAGTCCAGGGTAAAACCACAGGGCCCGGGTCTGGGCGAGGCAGCACCCTCAGGGCTGGCATGAAGGGCAGACACTGAAGCAGAAACTGAGGGGGCCCTGATGCTGTAACCATGTCTCAGACCTTGACCTGGGTGGGAGCCGGTTCCATGTCTGTGTCCAGGATTTTCTGCCCCAAGA